AGGAATGCCACCATCAAACAGAAGAGCCCCATAGCTTCAGACAGGGCAAAGCCCAGGATGGCATAGGAGAAGAGCTGCGCTGCTGCGGATGGATTCCTGCAGGGTGGAGAAAGGAGGGAACAAAGAGAAAAGAATCCACAGTGAGAAGCAAATCCCCAAGTCAGAGCTGCATCCCCAGGATTATGGCACACAGGCAATGGATTCCAGTGTTCCAGCAGCTGGAATTTTATCCAGGATTTTTTTTCCCTCCTAGTTTTAGTGATGGTGGAGCCTGAAGGTTAGTTTCGGATGGATTCCTGCAGGGTGGAGAAAGGAGGGAACAAAGAGAAAAGAATCCACAGTGAGAAGCAAATCCCCAAGTCAGAGCTGCATCCCCAGGATTATGGCACACAGGCAATGGATTCCAGTGTTCCAGCAGCTGGAATTTTATCCAGGATTTTTTTTCCCTCCTAGTTTTAGTGATGGTGGAGCCTGAAGGTTAGTTTCACTGGGCACTTGGTGGTACCAAGCATCAATTGCTGCTCCATTTCTTCCAGAGGCAGTAAAGCTCCACAGAGAAGCATCAGCAGCACTTGGAATTAATCCTAGGGGGGAGTCAAACAATTCAGGCACCTGATTTTAACAGAAGAAGGGATTATTTTAATAGATGGATTATGTTAATAGATCAATGGTCTGTTTTAATAGATTATGTTAATAGATCAATGGGTTTTCTAATAGATTGATGATGTTAACAGATCAACGGGTTTTCTAATAGATTGATGATTTTAATAGATCAATGGGCTGTTTTAATAGATTTTAATAGATCAGTGGGTTTTCTAATAGATTATTTTAATAAATCAATGGGTTTTCTAATAGATTATTTTAATAGATCAGTGGGTTTTCTAATAGATTCATGGGGTTTTAACTAGATTAATGGATCATTTTAATAAACTAATAGACCCTAACCATTCCCTACCCCAAGCATTGCTTGTATCAAACATAACACCTCACACAGACACACTCCACATGCAGGACTGGACACAGATCTCAAACAAAAACTCCACATGCAGAACTGGATACAGATCTCAAACAAAAACTCCACATGCAGAACTGGATACAGATCTCAAACAAAAACTCCACATGCAGAACTGGATACAGATCTCAAACAAAAACTCCACATGCAGAACTGGATACAGATCTCAAACAAAAACTCCACATGCAGCACAGACCCCAAAGAAAAGTCCCCAAATGCACCCAAAGGCAGAGCTGGAAGCAGGGAAGGAGCCCAGGCCAGGCTGGGAGCTGTCCCACCTGGCATAGCCGATGATCAAGCTGCCGAAGACGGTGCCGATCCCTGCGCCGGATCCTGCCACTCCCACCGTGGCAGCTCCAGCCCCGATGAACTTGGCAGCAGTGTCGATGTCCTGGGACACAGAGCTGGTCTGGAAGTCACGGCGGGACAGCTGAGGGGGGTACACAGCACCTGCCTGGGGACAGGGTGAGGGACAGACTCAGGGACTTGGAATTATAAACACCGAGGGTAGTAAGGAAGGATGCAGAGGGGAGGGAGAGATGGGATAGAAGGTACAGGTCTGTGTTTGTCAACCTTGTGATCAAATCAGGAGAAAACATCAAGGAGCAAAGGGAGAGAAAAGAAGTCAAGACCCAATTCCCACTTGAGTCTCACCTGTACAATCTGGGCCTCAGGTCTGTTGAAAACAGACACTGACACAGGTCTGGCCAAAGCCCTGGAGCAGCAACGGAGCTGGAGGGAAACATGAGGAATAGAATCATGGAATATCCTGAGCTGGAAGGGATACACAAGGATCATTCAGCCCAACTCCTGTCCCTGCACAGGACACCCCAAAATCCCACCCTGTGCCTGAGAGCATTGACCAAACACTCCTGGAGCTCTGTCAGCCTTGGGGCTGTGCCCACTGCCCTGGGGAGCTGCTCAGTGCCCAAACACCTCTGGGGGAAGAACCTTGTCCTGATATCCAACCTAACTCTCCCCTGACGCAGCTCCAGGCATTCCTTGGGTCCTGTCACTGGTCACACAGAGTAGAAATTGGTACTCCTATAATTGGATGTATCTAGACTAACCCTTAAATAAACACAGTTATTTTAAGAAGAGTGTTATTATTTTCTGAAAACATCTCAAGTGTGACACAAGACTGAAAAATAAAGGCATATTAATGTAGATATTTCTATTCCCACCAGGTGGATTAAGTCCATGAGTAATTCTACACCCACAGGCTGCAGCAGTGTCCTGTCTGCCACAGCAATTTCATTACTACCACATTTCCATACATTTTCTTCTTGAGTCATGCCCTGAAGGAAAGGGATGACTAAAAACCTCTGTGGAAATCAGTTTCTCTTTGGAAAAGGCCTTGGGCCTGCAGCTGACTGCACATCTATTCACACGGTGTCACCAGAGGTCACCTTGTTTCCCTTTCTCCTTAAATCCATGGAAAACAAACCCACCTGATCCCACCTCAGCCGAGGGCAGTGTTCTGAACCAGCACCACAGAGAAATCCCTCCCCATCCTATATCCCCCCTGGGAATTCCCTCTGAGGAAAGGCACTTACCAGCGCTGGGGAGCTGAGGAGAGCCACAGGAGCCTGCATTGTGCTTAATCTGAGACACAGAAAGGGGAAAACACAAGGAATTGGGACTTTAGAGTGTTATTGGCACCAGCCAAACCCTCTCTGGGGTCAGACACCATCTGACCTCACAGCTCCATCTGATCCCTCAGGCTTTGCGCCTACCATGGCTCTGTGTCCCTTCACTGTCCTCAAAGTTCTATCCCCACCGTGACTCTGTCCCTGAGGATTTACCCCCACTGAGTCCCTTCACTGTCCCCAACGCTTTGCCCCCAACCACAGCTCTGTATCCCCTCATTGTCCCCATGTCTTTGCCCTCACTGTCATCTCACTGCTCCAAACCTTTGCCCCCAACCACAGCTCTGTATCCCCTCGTTGTCCCCATGTCTTTGCCCTCACTGTCATCTCATTGCTCCAAACCTTTGCCCCCAACCACAGCTCTGTATCCCCTCGTTGTCCCCATGTCTTTGCCCTCACTGTCACCTCACTGTCCCCAACACTTTGCTGCCACCACAGCTCTGTATCCCCTCGTTGTCCCCATGTCTTTGCCCTCACTCTCACCTCACTGCTGCAAACCTTTGCCCCCAACCACAGCAGCTCTGTATCCCCTCACTGTCATCTCACTGCCCCAAACCTTTGCCCCAACCACAGCTCTGTATCCCCTCACTGTCACCTCACTGCCCCAAACCTTTGCTGCCACCACAGCTCTGTATCCCCTTGTTGCCCCCATATCTTTGCCCTCACTGTCACCTCACCACTGCAAACCTTTGCCCCCAACCACAGCTGTGTCCCCAAGGCCTTCACCCTCCGCCCCCCGTTAATCCCCGCCCGGGGCCTTCCCCGCACAGCCTCACACCTCCCTCTCCTTCCCCTCCAACCCCCCTAAACCTCTCCGATCTCCCTTTTACCCCCCTCAGACGCATCA